AGTTCGAATGCTTGACTTGCTTATCGCCATTTTTGCTTGGCGCTCGTTTCGGTTGCAACTCGCGACTACCCTGTGTGCTGTGCATGCTCCGTTCCCATAGCTAGAGCGTCAACGGTGTTGTTCCTTTATAGCTAGATAACGGAATCTTTTACTGTACCAATAAAAGTTTCCTTACAACTCAATCTGTCTTTTCGTATCGCTCCGGGCTACTCCAGGCTACTCCCAAAATTGGTGACCCCGACTCCGGAACAATCTCAGCGCCGGATATTTCGAACTTTTCTCCAGTGAGCTCGTTGCACTTATTTTTCATATTTTCTGGTTTATTTTTGCCTACGGTAGCCTGTTTTGCGCCATTCTTTAAGCCATGGAATCTGTAGACCCTAAGGTAGAGACTCTGATAAGCGTTATATCTCTATCTGTGCCACCTTTTTGGGACATGGATCCTTTTTGTGGTTCGCTCATGTTGTGGCTGTTTTATAACCACAGAATCACTTCCGACTACGCGACGTAAAGCAAACTCATGTACTATCTCCCTAAGGAGATATCAGTGCAGGTTCGAGACGTTATCATTTTTCCGACCGAAAACCGCTATGTGGCTCTCAAGGAGGCCATGATTAAGCGTGTTATGCCCTCTGAGAAACTTCGCCTGCAGCAGCTTTTCAGGGATCTTCAGCTGGGCGACAAACTGCACTCAACCCTTCTGCGAGAGATGCAGCAACTCCTTGGTTCCTCAACCATGGACGAGATGTTACTTCGCGAACAATGGCTACAGCGGCTCCCGGAAAACATGCAAGCGATTCTCGCTACATTGAGCTCCGTTTCGTTCAATCGGCTAGCAAATTTAGCCGATCGAGTTATTGAGCGATCACAGCCATTAGCCGACGCCAGCAAGATAAATGCCGTCGCGTCCCAGGGCACTTCTATCATTGGCTTACAGTCAACTATAGAAGCCCTGCAAACACAAGTTGCGACCCTTAGTCGCCAGGTTCAACAGCTTACTATGAACCGTCGTCGTCATAACCGCTCAAAATCGCCCTTCAAACGTTCTAAGTCTAGCAACAGACAGGCCAGCTGTTGGTACCATCAGCGTTTTGGTACCGCAGCTCATAAATGTGTAAAGCCTTGCAACTTTGCCGAGAAGCAGGGATACTTCTCGGCCGGTCCGTAACGGCGACGGAAGCGACCGACCAACACCAAAGTCGCCTCATCCGCGTTAGGGATTTAACTTCCGGCACCGAGTTTCTAGTCGACACTGGAGCCGAAGTTAGCGTTATACCCCGTACCCCAGATGAGGTCGTCTCACCATCGCCAACCAACTTTCGGCGAAAGGCTGCTAACGCTCAATTTAGGCCTCCGGCGAACCTTTCGTTGACCTTTCATAGTCGTAGCCGTGTACTTTGCCATCATAGGCATAGACTTCCTTCAGTGCCTCGACCTCATCGTCGACGCTAAAAGGAAGAAGCTTATCGACTCTAGGGCACAGCTCAGGACTGGCTCGGGACTAGCGCCAACGTGGCTGTTATCACTCCCATACGTGTCCTACCTCAAGTTTCACTACCTTTTCTAAATTTTTTCAACAAGCATCCTAAACTCGTTCGCGTCCTGAACGACTTGCCTCCTGTGACGTCAAACGTCATGCATCACATTTGCACTAAGGGCCCACCCTCGCAGACTAGCACCGGACTAGTTCAATGCTGCTAAGGCGGAATTCGAGCAATTGCTCGAACAGGGAACAATCCGCCCGTCCAAAAGTCCATGGGCATCACCATTACACATGGTACCGAAGAAATCCGGTGACTGGCACCCCCCTGTGGTGACTGCAGGGCACTTAACAAAGTTACCGTCCCGGATAAATACCCCATTCCGCACATACACGACTTGACCTCAACTCTAGCTGGTAAGTATATCTTTGGAAATGTCGGCCTAGTTCGCGCCTACCATCAGATATCTGTGACGCCAGACGACATTACTAAAACAACAGTCATCACGCCATTCGGCCTATTCGAGTACCTCAGAATGCCTTTCGGCCTCAGCAACGCTACCCAAACTTTTCAGCGTTTCATTCATGTGGTAACGCGAGGACTTGAAGGCGTTTATCCTTATCTAGATGACATTCTCATCGCCAGCTTTTCTGACGAGGAACATCTTCATCACCTCCACGCTCTCTTTCAACGCCTAACATGGCATGGGGTTACCGTCAACCCCGATAAATACGAGCTTGGCCAAAGCTCCATCGACTTTCTTTGCCACCGGGTATCCGCCTCTGGTATTGAAGCTCCGCCAGACAAAATCCAGACCCTGAAGGACTATCCTGATCCCAGTTCCTTTAAACAGTTACGCCGATTTCTTGGCCTGGTTAACTATTATCGACGCTTTATCCCTAACTGCGCGAGCATTGTTCAACCAATGACTGACTTGCTCCGCGGTAAACAACGGTCTTTTCATTTTGCAGACGACGCTAGACTCTTTTGAGAAGCTCAAAGACGCTATCTCCAACATAGCGCTTTTCGCCCATCCAGACACATCTCCACCACTCTGCCTGACAACCGACGCATCCGACACTGCCGTCGGTGCAGTTCTTCAACAACTCATCGGACATCGATGGATACCTCTAGGTTTCTTCTCGAAACGTTTACAACCTGCCGAATCGCATTACAGCACCTTCGGTAGGGAACTGTTAGCTATCTACCGAGTTATCAGACATTTCCCTCACTATCTCGAAGGTCGACATTTTATAGTATTCACTGACCACAAGCCATTGATCTGTGCAATCAATGGCGCAACAGATAAGTATTCTCCGCGGGAAACTAGACACCTAGACTACGTTTCTCAGTTTACGACAGACGTACGACATGTCTCAGGTGCTCTCAATCCCGTCGCGGATGCGCTTCCACGCATTCAGCAGATCAGCTTATCGCCTGGCACCAGCATAGATCTAACGGCTATTGCTGCTGCCCAACAAGCTGATCCCGACATAGACAAGCTGCGACGCAACACCTCGTTGAAACTACGCGAAGTTATACTAGCTTCATCTGAGGGAACTATTCTTTGTGCCGCCTCACAAACTTCTCCACGACCCGTAGTTCCTACTTCGATGCGTCGACTAGTTTTCAACGCTTTACACAACCTGTCTCATCCCGGCATACGTGCTTCGCAGAAGCTCGTAACTGAACGCTTCGTATGGCCCAATGTCGATCGCGATGTCCGCCTTTGGGCACGCGCATGCTTAGAGTGTCAGCGCGCCAAGGGATACAGACACACCAAAAGCCCACTTGGCGTCTTTTCTGCTCCTGACTCTCGTTTTGCACACGTCCATGTCGACCTGCTCGGACTTTTGCCTCCATGCAAAGGCTACGTGTACCTCCTCACTTGTGTTGACCGATTCACCCGTTGGCCAGAGGCGATTCCGATAGTCAATTGCTCATCTGAGACGGTTGCACAAGCTTTCCTGGAACGCTGGGTAGCTCAATTCGGTTACCCAAGCGTAGTCATCACTTACAAAGGATCACACTTTGACGGATTCTTCAGCAAAATGCTCAACGTTCTTGGTTGCCAACATAACCGAACCACCGCATACCATCCCGCAGCTAATGGGATGGTAGAAAAGTTCCACCGGCAACTCAATGCATCACTCTGTGCCCAAACTATCACATCCTGGCACGAAGCACTTCCGGTCGTTCTCTTAGGCATAAGAAACACGATTAAAGCGGATTTGCACGCCACTCCATCGTCGCTAGTCTTTGGATGCAAACAACACTTACCTGGTGAACTCGTCTCACCAAAAACGCCAACAACTTTCGGCTATGGCGACTACGCAACTCGCCTATCTCATCACATGCTACATCTTCAGCCTTTGCAACCCAGAGAACAGAGCTTGCGTACCAACGTGGACGAACGCTTAAGTACTTGCACGCACCTATTCGTTCGCACTGACAGCGTACGCCGGCCACTCCACCTCCTTAATCTGGTCCGTACCGTGTCGTACGCAGAAGCGATAAGACGTTTACCATTGACTACGATGGTAATACTGAGACGATCAACCTCGGTCAATTCAAGCCAGCATTCCTCGACAAGTTTGACTCTACGGTGCACCAAACACCTTCACAGCCTACGCCATCACAGCTCGCACCGCAACTTCAGACGAGTCAGTTCGCTCCAGGAGAACCGACAACCTCAACCGACAGTACTACTGTCAATCGGTGCGGTAGGAAGCTCAAACCTCCAGTTCGTTTTTCGGACTTCGTTAGCACTTACTATTTTACATAGAGTGTGCCTCTGAAATTTTCTACTCTTACCAAACGTCTTGAAAATCCACAAAGAAAGACCAAAACCTTTTGAAATTACCAAAAAAGAGCAAATCCTTCTGAAATCCCAAAAGCAGCTTTGCACGTTTTTCGCTTTGTACTCTTTTGTGTATTGCTATGCATTTACGCTGCTTTTTCCTTTTGTTTTCCATATACACCGTCGGTTGGTTGCACCTTGGTTTCATTTTTCGCTGGGTCGCCGCACGTCAACTGGAAGTGGAACGAACTTCCTGCTCAACCGCCTACGTGAACTTTACTAACTGTCCCCCCATAAACAGTTTTTCTACCCTTTCGAAATCGTAGGGAGGACGAGGGTGGGAGCCCGATAGGGTCCGATTGCATGGTTCTCCCCCAGCAGCTGCATCAGATTTCACAACCTGGTCTCACAGAAGGCTGGCCCGCGACGGACAGTCCTCACGTAGATCGAAGGACTGCATATACAATACCATCAGGGAGACAGCTATGTAGCAGTCTGCAGATTCCCCGGTTTGCCTGTGTAAAATTCTAACCGAAATTATTTCATTGTACACCTAGGCAACCGGTGTGGTTTGTTGAACTGATTGCTGAGTTCGAATGCTTGACTTGCTCATCGCCATTTTTGCTTGGCGCTCGTTTCGGTTGCAACTCGCGACTACCCTATGTGCTGTGCATGCTCCGTTCCCCTAGCTAGAGCGTCAACGGTGTTGTTCCTGTATAGCTGGATACCCGGGAATCTTTTACTGTACCAATAAAAGTTTCCTTACAACTCAATCTGTCTTTTCGTATCGCTCTTGGCTCCCGGTACAGGTTGCTCCCTAAAATCTTTGGCACTACTGTCAGACTTCCTGGAGAAATGTGGCTAGACTCAATGGTTACTGAAGAAGTTGATCCGACGTCGTACGTCACACGCCTGAAACAACACTTTAGTTCAATTCGTCCAACGCCACCTCGAATCAATCCTCGGATTCAACGGGTACACACCGATATGGGCACTTGCCCCTTCCTTCTCAGGCGTATCGATTCCGTCCGTAAACCTCTGACACCGCCTTACGTCGGTCCCTTGAAGGTTGTTGCTCGGAAAGAGAAGTACTTCATGCTGGATAGAAATGGTTATCAGGATACTGTGAGTATTGACCGCTGGAAGCCGGCTTACATCGTGACGCGACCAGTACCGAAATCCGCGGACATTCCCGTCACCGACCAGCCGACCTTCCCAAGTACGCCTCCTACCCAGTTCATGTGTGACACCTCTGTTCCCTCTTCTGCACCCCAAGCATCTCACGACACAAACTCGAACTCGCATCACCGAACACGCTTCGGACGTACAGTTCTTCTCCCTTCCAAACTACGATAAATGATATACAAGTATCGAGCTTTCGTCTCATTGACTCACGCTCCAGAGGGGAGTTCTGTAGCGATTGTACATATCTCTTTTCCAAACTGTATTTTCCTATTCGTATTTCCATTATTTGTTGTACCGTTTTGTTTAACTGACCAACAACCGAAAAAGACTTTTCGAGTTTAGATACGCCCTCTGTTTTTGGCTACTCCTGTTGTGCTACTGATCGTCGTCGGTCTGCTAGCTTCGTTCATCGATCACCGGATCTAACGCGTAGAATTATTGTGCCAAGTTTCGTCTCCCGACCGGATTGTGCGACTAACTGACGGTCTACTGAGGATCGTAGTTTACCGAAGGTCAAGTCCAGCATTTTTACTTTATAGACTGGGAGTGCTTTTTATGTAGTTAAGCCCTTTTAGTTCGGTCTTTCCACTACATCCTTACCTTGACTAGAAGAAAGCGATAGCTTGTCTCATTTTCAAGAAAGATGTCAAACGCCTTCCTGAGAACTACCGACCGGTCAGTTTGACTAGTGCGCTAGTCAAATTACTGGAGAAGTTGGTAAGCGACGTTTAACTTGCTCAGTTCGTCTCAGTGTGGTTTTCGTAAAGGCTGCTCTTGCCTTGCTAATTTGTTGTATGCTCGGGAATGATGTGCCGACGTGTTGGATCGGGGCAAGGCGGTCGATGTGCTTTATATTGACTTTGCCAAACCGACACCGTCTGACATTCCCGCCTGTTGTTTAAGCTGCGGTCATACGGTATCTTCGGGCAAGCCTTACGGTAGCTGATGACATTTCTAGAGAGTAGGGAGATGTGCATTCGGTTGGGCTCGAGCCCCTTCTCTCAACAGTGGGTTCTAATTGGTGTTCGGCAGGAGTCCGCCCTTGGTCTGCTGTTGTTCACCTTGTACGTTAATGAATTGCCTGAGAAACTGGGGTGCCGTCTCTCACGTTTGCAGATGACCTTAAGCTCTGCGGCACGACCAGTAACGCGAGTGACTCCCAGATTCTGCAGAGAACCCTTGATAGACTCTGGGATTGGTCCATTTTGTGGCAGCTACCCATAAACATTTCAGAGCGCTGTTTTGCGCCTTGTAGACAGTGGCCCATCAACGCCCTAATTTTTAGGGGCAACGAAGTGCCACGTGTATCCGAGCAAACCGACCTAGGTGTCAGATATATATATATATATATATATATATATATATAACATTTGCCCAATAAACATTTGGCACAGTGCCACAACACATAAGTAACGATAACAAAAAGGGGGACATGAGAGTCAGCTGCATGGAAGGAAAGTTCCATGTGCTGTGTGGGTCTTGAGCTTCTCGGTTGCCTAGGCCGAGGAAGAGAGCTGATTTAATGGACCCCACTGTCCGGAAGAAAGTAAGAATTGCCTTAGAAATCCACGATTTTAGCGATTAATACGTTATTTTGTCAAGGTCATTGGCGTTTTGCTTTTTTCCTTCGGTTGGGCTAGAAGTTTTGTGGAGCAGTAAATTGTCATTTTTTGGAATTGCGTTTAGTGAGAAGATTATAACAAATGGCGACGGAGAAAGTTGGAAATGTGATGAATTTTTCTTCCGAACAATTTCAAAAGCTGCTTTTTCAACAGCAAGCTGAAATGGAGGCGCAAATGAAAATGATTGAAAATTTGACACAATGCTTGAGTTTGCAGACAACTGGAGCAGCGGCGCGGGACACGCAGGCGAGTTCTGTTGATCTCACGAACGCCATCACTGAATTCAATTATGATGCGGATTCTGGATGCACCTTCGAAGCCTGGTTCAAGCGCTGGGAAAACATGCTCCAGACGGATTTCATTCGTCAAGACGACTCCTGGAAGGTGCGATTGCTACTCCGCAAGCTCGGAATAAGTGAACATTCAAGGTTCATGGACCACATTTTACCCAAACAGCCGAAGGATCTGACTTTTGACGAAGTGGTGTCGCAGCTGAAGGAAATTTTTGGTGAGTCAATATCCTTGTTTAGTATTCGCTATCAATCCCTGAAAATTGTCAAACAGGAATCTGATGACTTTGGGGCCTTAGCAGACATGATTAACCGTGAGTGTGAACGTTTCAAACTACGCTCTTTAACGGACCATCAGTTTAAGTGTCTCATTTTCGTAAGCGCTCTACAATCGCCCAGTGATGCTGAGATCCGCACGCGACTTTTAGCTAAGCTGGAGCAGGATCCTGATCTGACACTGAAGGCCCTCGTAAGTGAATGCAAACGGCTGCTCATTTTAAAACACGACACTGCCATGATCGAACGCAATGGTCTCGCACCACCAGATACCGTACAACTCGTGAAAAAGGCCAGGACCGGCAACCGAAGCAAACCCTTCAAGAAGCCGATGAACAAACCGCCCACAGCATGCTGGTCATGCGGCGAATGGCATTTCGCACGCTTTTGTCCCTTCAAACATCCTATTTGTCAAACGTGCCATAAGCGGGTGCATAAAGAGGAATGCTGCAGTCAGGTACGGTCGAAGAAAGTGAAGTCGTATCGAAAGGGGCATTCTAGGAAGGATGGCGCCGTCTCTGCCCATAGTTGCCGCATTCCAAAGCGAGTGTAAACCGACGCGACGATTTATCAGTGTGTTGAGCAATGGCATCCCAACGAAACTACAATTTGACACGGCCTCGGACATCACGATTATTTCCAGGCGCACATAGAATCACCTAAAGAGGCCGAAGATGGTCGAGTCTCAAAAGTTGCATATAATGCATCCGGAGGTGCGTTAAACCTGGTGGGCGAACTCAATTGCAAGATTGCTTTCCAAGGTGTGGAAAAGTCGGCAACATGCTACATTTCAGACAGGCCAAATTTGAATCTCCTTGGCCTCGACTGGATTGAAAAGTTGTATCTCCTCGATGTTCTGCGCCCTATCTGCTGCATCGATCAGGGTGGATAGGGGTATGGATGCTACTGCTCAGACCTTCCCGTCTTCTTATACCTCTTCTTGCGCCTCTTCATCCTTATCGTCCCACTCCAACTTTACTTATTTCCCCCCATTTTCAATCCCCAATTCTTGGCCCTCCCCCAGTTTACTTCAATAGTCGCTTGTCTTCTAATTTCAAATGACACACAATAGCAGGGCGTCGCTCCAATCCAGTCGACAAGTCCATGTTCAACCAAGCGGACAACGTCAGTTCATCTGTTTCCCTTTGGAGTCCTCGTGCGTTTCGGTGGACGTGCGCAACGTCGATGTGAACGGATTGACACCAGCCAGCTGGCGAAGCCAAATGTTCTGAATGTGTACCAAAGTGCGCTGACATCTGGGCTGAGTAAGCGCCCACTAAACACCGTTGAAAATCACTGGTCGCATATTCGTCAAGCATTGCTGTTAGCAGGCATGTCTTCATGTGGCAAAGCAAATTGCAAAACCGGACATTGGGTCTCTACACAGTCTCTGAAACTTATGGATGCTCGCCGACGTATTCCGGCTGGAAGCGAATACAATGAGGCTCGCAAAAATCTCGGAGCAAAACTACGTGCTAGCGTGAAGAAGGATCGCGAAACCTGGTGGTCTCATCGTGCCTCTGAGATGGAAACAGCCGCTGCCGTTGGTAATCATCGTAAGTTATTCCGTCTGATACGGGAAACAGGCAGCAGGAGACCTGGTGTTAGCGAGACCATACGCGACGAGTGGGCAGCCGATCTACAGCTTGTCAATACGCCTGGAGCGTTGGGCTGAACACTTTGCAAGGCAATTTAACCAACCTGAGTTATCGCTTTCTTCTTCGGGCATTGAGCGCCCTTCTCCTTGGATCCGCCCTCACGCGCAGAAGTCGAACGTGAGATCAGGCTGTTGAAATTGCATAAGGCCGCAGGGGCAGATAGAATTCCCCCAGCCCTCTTCAAATTCGGGGGACCTGCTCTAGTAGATGATCTACACGAGTTGCTGGGGACTCAGGGGGCGTGTCACTGTTTTCCTTTTTTTGTCTTTTGTATTGCGACACAATAGCTGAGGTGTTTTCCACCTCCAGCTAACATGTAATGATGATGATCCCTTGAATCAGATCTGCAACCGAGTTCGAGCAAGTCCGGACCCATCAGCAAAGTCCGTCGAAGAAATGACACGTACCCTGAAGCGAAAATTTGCTTCTGTCTTTCAGGATGGCTTGGGCAATGGTACGAAATTCAAGGCAACACTGAACTTGCGACTATGTGCTAAACCAGTGTTCAAGGCTAAAAGATCGGTACCATGCTCAGCCATGTCAACCGTTGGACAAGAACTCGGTCGACTGGAACGTGCCGGAGTCATCACAGCCGTCAACTACTCACCATGGGCCGCACCTATTTTCGCCGTGAATAAAGCAAATGGCAAGGTACGAGTCTGCGCTGACTTCTCAACTGGCCTCAACGCCGCGCTGGACGACCACCAGTACCCCTTACCTGTACCGGAGGATATCTTTGCAATGCTGAATAGTGGTAAGTACTTTGCTATGCTTGATATATCCGATGCGTATCTTCAAGTGGATGTTGACGAAGCCTCGAGGGAGTTGTTGACGATCAACACTCATCTTGGGCTATTTCAATACAACCGCTTGCCATTTGGTGTGAAAACGGCACCAGCCATCTTCCAACAGTTAATGGATACCATGCTAGCGGGCGTTTCTGGAACTGCTGCATATCTGGATGATATTATAGTGATGGGTCGAACACCAGAAGAACTATTCAACCGCCTGGATGAAGTGCTTGGTTGTATACAGTCGTACGGTTTCCGGATCCGTGAAGATAAATGCACATTTTTCACGCCGATTATCGAATACCTCGATTTTATCCTCGAAAAGGATGGACGTCGACCAGACCCGGAAAACATAGAAGCCATTAGAAACATGCCTCCACCAACAGATCTACAGTCCTTGCGTTCCTTTTGTGAGCTCCTCAGCCACTACAGCGCATTCTTGCCTGAGATGCACCGCTTGCGTGCCCCGTTAAACAAGCTATTAGCCAAAGGCCAAAGATGGAACTGGACATCAGAATGCCAGAATGCCTTCGAACGCGTCAAGTCACTGCTGTCGTCAAACTTGCTTTTGACTCATTTCCATCCATCCAAAGAGATCGTCCTAACCACAG